ATGTTCGGAAAATGCTGCAGAAATCATGCACTCTGTTTTTCACCCAAACTCGAACAATAAATTTGTGTTAAAAACTTAAAACATGGAAATTTTCATTATATTCACCCAAGGTATAAGATTTTTGTGAAGTTTTATTCCTAAAATATACATTACCAATTTTGTGATTGATTATCAATCAATGGTTTTAATCAGATAGTTTTCTGAACATCCTACTCCTACACTACAATTACATTTCAGATTCAAATCCAATGTTCCAAAATCCTTCAGGAGTCATGGGAGGAACATACCTGTAACGATGCCTCGAAACCCCATCATGATGCTCACAGCGTAGACCCGGTTTATCACCATTGGTTTCCCCATTCCCATCATTTGGAAGAACAGCATCATAAAACTTCTTGCATTGCTTGCACTCGATTCCTTTTAGATTTTGCCTGTCAGCTTTCTTTCTCACAGGCTCCAAGAACTTGAAGCTTCCTCTTCCATTGCCAGCCTGCGGATTCTCTGGTGGATGAGCAGCATTCATATCCTGTGTCTCGTCATCTGAGCGATCCATAATGATGTCTTTTACACCCACATCAGGAAGAGGAAGATCTTGTACTCCGTCCTTCACTGGATTGTTTAAGTTTTCTCTGATGTTCTCAAATGGGGTGTCGAGAAAATCATCATGTGGGTCAGGCCCCACTTGGGCTTGATGGTGAGCCCTGGTATCTCTCCAGCAAGATGCCGATCTTTTGGAAGCTACTGGTGCAGCTTTTACATTGGGACTACGTTTGGAACCAATTGGGAAAGTAGGAGCCTTTGGAGGAGATGATTCCCTTTTGACTCCCTTTGTATCCTCTATATTACTGTTCAAGCCGATTTCTTTCTTCAATTGGCATGGGTCAGAAACTGCCATGTAAGGTTCTTCAGTTTCAGCATCAGGATCTACTGCTCCAAATAATAGATAACTAATAAGGCATGGAATATGGACAACAGGATTTGAGAATTGAACATTAAGGGAGATTTCAGAATTGTGTTTCTAGTATAAAGAAGGGGATGTTTACCTGGTGAAGATGCAAGGTCCAGATTATTAGCCATTGAATCAGTTTCATTTTCTCTTATGTTCTTCAGCATATTGTTGCTAGTAAGGCCAAATTTTTTAAGAAGGAAGTTATGTTGTGATTTCAGCCTTTTGTAGGCATCAACTACACCCTTTCTTGCTTTCTTTTCGGCCAGTAACTTGTAGGACTTTGATTCAATCTGTTGGCGTAAACTTTCATATGATTCATTTCCTTCCATTTCCTCGTTGTTATTTACCTTAGGATTCGACTTGAGCTCATTAATTTTCTCCAGAGAAGCATTCAACTTGGCTAAAAGCAGTTTTTTCTCTTTCTCAAATTCCTCCAGCTGCTCTTTATTCTTTGAAATTTCCGAGCCAGCTGAATCAATTTGCTGGAGCAACTTGGTTTGCAATTTTCTTCCTTCTTCAATTTCTTCGGTCTTCTTAAAAAGCTTCTTCTGAAGGTCATTGAGATTCTCCTGCAATTTTTCTAACTTGACCACTAGTATTTGTTTCTCCTTTTGCTGATCATTATTCATCTTTTCAATATTCATAATTTCTGAAGCTTGTAATTCAAGTTTTTTGAACAAGTTCTCTTCCAATTTCTTAACCCGGGATACTTCATCTGTCTTCTCACTAAGATTCCGCTGGAGTTCGTCAACCTTCATCTCAAGGCTAGTCAGTTTGGAGCGCAATGCATTTGATTGGTCTTCATGCTCTTTCAGTTTTTGTTCCTTGCCCATTATCAGGGAGGTTTTGGACCGAACCATTTCAAGTAATTTCCGCTGCAATTCAATTCCCTCATCAATTTCTCTTGATTTCTGTTTAAGTTGCTGTGAAAGTTCCTCAACTTTGAGTTGCTCACCCAGTAGTTTGGATCGCAGCAGATCCATCCTTTCCTCTTGCTCCTTCGATGGCTTTTCTTTCTCAAGTTTCAAAGACTGATTCTCTTCATGGACAAGCTGATTTTCCCGTTTAAGTTTTTCTATTTGGAATAGGAGATCGGTTTCTTTGTCTTTCCATGCATCCTCTGCAAATTTTCTAGCATCAGAATATAGTTTTTGCAAACTTTTAGACTTCGCTTGAAAACTGGGAAAKATCTGGTTGCAGAAGATATATTCAATCTGGGATATCCTGTCTTTTGTTTCCTGGATCGTTGCAACCAAAATAGTACTAAGCCCAGAAATGTACTTCAGGTCATCAGAGTCAACAGGCGACCCTCCAAGTTTGAGAGAGTGATCCTGGTCACTGTCCATATCTAAAACTACATAAAAGAAAAGGACAAACAACATCAAGTTCAGAGTGGTGAACATATTGAAAACTGTTTCACTCAGTAAACAAAACAATAGTAGAAACATAGAAACTTTGGTTAAAAACGCATTGCAGGAGGAAAATTTTAAATATCTCGACCAATGTAAAAGTTTCTTATAGAAATGACGAATCTCTAAAAACTCCATACACGATGCCTCCGAGTTTTTGCTAATTCCGGTAGTGGTAAGACATTAGTTTCGCAATTATAGATAAAATCTTGCTTTCATTCCAATTTCCAACTATTGGTAACAAAGAGCCTGTAATTTAAGTTACCTCTTCTGCAAATTTTTCGTTCCCCTAATTGAATCCCCATCGATGCTCAAAGTTAATCAATGAAAAAGGCAAGGAAACATACCAAATTTTACATGGTATCAGAGCCCTAGGTGATTGCTAGGGTTTTGGTGATTGCTAGGATTTGGCGCCGTTGCCGGTCGCCGCTACTTCACCAGTCGCCGGTCGCCGATTTGCACCGGTTTGTCGTTGCACCGATTTGCAACGATTGGTTGTTCTTGGGGTTGCCGTGTGCAACGATTGGCGCCGGTCGCCGATTTGCACCGATTTGTACCGTTCGACTTGTGTTCGTGGTGTTCGTAGTGGTTGCCGCTCACGCTTCGTGACCAATTTCGTGGTAGAATTTCGTCGCTGCAGATTCACGGCTGATTCACTGCTTTCGTGGGTGAACCAATTTCGTATCAGCGACTGTCATTTTGTCATTCACGGCAGATTTCATCGCTGAATTTGGGGGAAATTTGGAGGATTTCATCGCTGCAGATTCAAGGAAGATTTCGTACTGGTAGGGTTTCACGAAACGAAAGGGCGCTGCTACTTTATTTTAGTGCGGTTCAAGCATCTGGTTCCGTCCGGTTCACGTTCGGGTTCGGTCTGGTTCAATTGGGTTCACTCTGGCGGTTCGGTCCGGTGGCTCGTTCGGTTCGGCACAGAAGTAGCTCTTCCTTTTACGTTTCTTTCTGGCATTGTTTTTTTGGTTGGGTTCATCATAACAGAGGACGACAAAACTTCAGTTGCAAAAACTCTATTAGGAGTTGCCACGAAGATTGATACAAATGGGCCGTTTTACCTAGGGCCACTAGAACGTCTTGGTGATTTCATTACTCCAATTCGTCTAAAGTTGATAATTTTGACAAATGGTCTCATGCAATTCGAGTTGYCTTTTCGTCTCGACGAAAATTTGGTTATTCTTAATGGAACTATCACTAAGGTCGTTCCGTCTTGGATAAATGATGATTGGGTCATGATTCATTATATGCTAGTTTCATGGTACATGGATACAATCGATCCTGAGGTAGGTTCTATGCTATCTAATTATAATGATGCCAAGCTGTTATGGGATTATTTGAATGAACTATTCTCCATTATGAACGATCCTCATATTTACCAACTTAAGGGAGATATTAGTCGTTGTGAACATAGCAAAAATATGTCAATTGCTGTCTACTTTAATAAATTGTATGTCTTGTTGGATGAGTTAGATAAACATGAACTTCTGATTTCTTGCGACCGTAGAAAGTGTACTTGTCGGTTGGAAAACTACATGAAAAACGACGTTTCGATGATAAAGTATTTCATCAATTTTTGCTTGGCTCGTGTTCTAATTATTATGGTCAGTCGAGGACTACTCTTTTATCACAAGACCCTCTCCCATCCTTAATTACTCGTATTACTAGGCTTTGGTGGGGAACCGCAACCAATTATAAAGACATACAAACCACACCAAATTTAAATCTCTCGAGACGTTGAGGGATCTCTCACTCAACTCATACCAAAATTTTGATAACTTTTACACATCAAGAAGTAATAAAAGATGTGAGAAATATCCAAAATCTTGGATAATGCAAAAAAAAAAATAATAAATCAAAGTCTTCTTTATTTTTGTAACTTGTGTGTGTATATACATTTTAAATACTTTTAGTTTATTTACTTTTGATCTTTGTTCACTTTAGTTTTAAAAGGTCTACTTTTAATAAATAACCATTTTAATTTCTATTGGTAAAATTTTAACACAAACTTTATGGAGAATGAAAACTCTTCGGTGTAAATTTAAGGTTAAATTTCAAAAGATTTAGTGAGTGGAATGACATGCTAAAATCTTGATTAAAATAAATAAGATGAAAAAAAGGAAATGAACCGGCCRAAATGAACATTTCAAAAGTAGAAGAACTAAAATGAGAAGTCAAACGTTTGAGACTACTTRACTCAAAATAGTAAACCTTTATATTTTTATGCAGTAATTATATGATCATATATAGTGTAAGTTTTTTGTTTTACATTCTAMCTATTGTTTGTAGAGTATAATACTCCAAYAAGGATTCACACTCTCAACCTACTTCATCTAAACATCTTAATTGAATTTGAAAAAGTGTGGAATCTAAGTTTATATTAAATATTATATAAGGGCCAAGAAATAGTTTCTTGGAATTTTTTTTTTAAAGGATAATGATTAAGAATCGGAATAAAAATCAATTGGAATCAGAATTTCTTTTTTTTAGTACTAACCTATTGGGGGGATTCAAACTCCCAAAGGTAAATATTTAGTACAATGACCAATAAAATAGGTAGAACTAACAATATTTGAATGAGTTATTTATGGGAAATAAAAGTATAAATTTTCATAATGATTGCTAACCAACAGAAAATAAATACAATATCCAAACCTAGAATAATGGAAATTATTGGACTGTCCAGCTCTTAATTAATTTAATTATAAGGTTTTGTGCGTATAATATTCCTTTTTTCCTTTTTTTTTGTGTGTGTATAATATTTATCTGTGGAGTAAGTAGATAACTCGAAATCTCGAATCCATTATTTTATCGACGGCCCATACCTTGCCGCTGAAAGTGCATACATTATTTATTTTCCTGGTGCAATAATTTTAATAAACAACTACTTTTGATTTTTAAATTTTAAAATATCATTTAGCTGTTCAAATCTTTAAAAAATAATACGTATTTTTCATCTCATTCACATCTTAACTTATTCAGCTCCATTATATGTCTCTTACTGTACATTAAACAATTAGACGTAGACTAATAATGAGAATTAAAATATTTTTAAAAAAATAATAATTAAAATATTGTTTTAAATTTAAGAACTAAAATAAGTGCTTTTAAGATCAAAATAAAATAATAAATTAAAAAAAACCGACATAACAATAAAGGGCAAAAAAGAGGGAGGGGTGTTTGGTAAATTCGCATCGTTCGTTTGGTGACGTGTTGGTAAGTGATTGAATAWYACAGGTGGGTCCAACCATCCTACCAATTTTTCGCACAGCTTTTCATCGCATCCAAAAGTCCCAGCACTGACAGGTGGGACCCACTATTATTATTACTATTTATTCTTTTTTAGTATATCGTTTTGATCTAAATTATAGATTTAGTTGTCATTTTCAGCTTTTTTTTTTTTAGTTCTTCAGCTTTATATATATATTTTTTAAAACTATTGTTAATTATCTTATATATTTATTATGATTTTAATCATCATTATGGTTAATTATCGATATGAGACGTGGTTGGCTTCAATTTTTTGACCTAATGTCAAATTAATRTATCAATTTAAGCATAAATTAAAAAATTAATATCGAAAACAGCCACCAAATAAAACTTAAGATTCTAACATTCAATCTTTCTTATTTTTCTTGTTGTAGGCATACTCAAGTTGGTAAATGAAAATCAAACGAAATCGAATCAAGCAAATATAGAAAACCTTCAATCATTTAACATATGTTGTTTAAGTTGATTGAATAAACTTGATGATCATGTCAAAAATGAAAAATAAATTTTGATAATTGATGGGACATTAATATAGAATAATTACAATAATTAYCCTATGGTGTGATAATAARTTACTTTTTTAATATTAATAAATTACTTGTTCTTTTGCATTATAAAATRTTACCTTGGTCAAACAAGATTAAAAATAGTTCATGGGCTAAATTTAACAATTTTAATTAATTKAATGGATGGTCAAGAATATTACCTAAATCTAATTATTCTTCTAGAAAAATGACATGTATGTATTTTCTTTCACTTCAAAATATTCAAAATTGAAAGGAGATCTAAATTAGAATAAATTTGTAAAATTGTATCKTCGTGATCCCAACTTGGATACTAGAGAAAGAAAAATGAATAATATTTCATTGTCGATCTCTTTTATGAAATTAAAATGGCAAGTTTTTGGTATATGCGAAAAATAGAAKGAGAATATATTTTTAGAATATTAATGTAATTGTTTGACRATGACATGGTAAACACATGRAATATTTAACTATTTAATTTGTTACTCTAATTTTAATTATTTTTTAATATTATTAATCTGTTATATTGGATAAATTTCATTATCATGAACAAATTATTCTATTACATGAAATCTTCAATACTATGGAGAGGGGATAATTAAGAATTTAATATATTTATCATTGCAAAAAAAAAAACAGTTAAAGACAAATTCACAAAATAATCTATCGTAATCAAATGAAAATCATCAAATGAATTATATTGAAATGAAGATACAAATGAAACTCCATAAATAAGATCGAAAATAAAAACTTGAACATTGTTAAACTAAACATATATCACTGATTAAAAAATCGGACGAATTTCTCTGGTTGAACTAAAATAAATAAAAACTTAATAAATTCAAATTAATAAACAAATAACTCATACTTCTTAACTTAAGTTATAAATATTTATATATATTCAAAAACGCTAAAACTTAAACCAAAATATCGTTCTTAGCCAAGATGCGGATGGAGTCGGGAAAGTCAATTTGCTTCCTGCCTAATTGAACGCACGCATACAACTTTATAATAACATTCATACTGCATTTGATATAATTTGTATTTAATTTCAAATTTGGTTAATATACTTTGCCCTTATAATTTGAATAAACATAAAAAAAAAACAAAAAAACAAAACTATACCTAAATTGTTTTTACCCACTCGAAAATTTTGAAAAAAGTCCTCCTAATTAACTTTTGAATATTTCTTAGAAAAAAAAGGGATAAATTGTGAAAATAACCAAATCATGAGGATATTTTTTTAGCGGGAAAGAAATAAAACTAAAACTAAGCTCAACCAATGAAATTAAATCGACAATTTAACTAATACTAATCAAAATTTTAGATGATTTAGATATATTTTTATATTTCTTCCACCTATTTTTGGAGTTTCTAATTCCTGCATTTTGGTCGTATACAATAGGTTTAATACCATTTCAGTCTCCATACTTTTATTTTGGATCATTTTAATCGTGTAATTTCAAAACGTTTATTTTGATGAAACTTTTATTTTAGTATTCGTACTTTTAATTTTTGTTCATTTTTATTATTGTATTTCCTATTTTGGTCCTTCATTCTTAATGTTGTCTCATTTCTTCCAAATTCTAATTTTAGCTTCATATTTAGGGATGTTGAGGTGGGGCAAGCTTCTCTGTTCCCGTCTCATCCCGCCCTCCATTTAATTCTCCATCCCCACGAGATTCCCCATGAAATTTTGCGAGGATCGAGGTGGGACTTCCCACAGGGAATTCATGGAGATCGTGTTCCCCATGGAGATTTTTTCCCGTTTATTCTTTTACTTTAAAATTATTTTTCAATTAAAATTTTTTCTTAAGAAAATTTCTAATTAATTAATTAATTTTCAAARATAAAAACTTTATTTACATGGTCTAATCCTCTTCTATATATTTGATGGGTAGACAATAATATGATTTTATAAGTATATCTAAGTACAGAAAGAATAACAATATTTTTTAGTATATAAAATATATTAAAAAAATGCGAGACGAGACGGAGAACGGGGATCCCCATCCCTATCTTCATTTAGGTGCCAGGGAAAAAACTTTCCCCACCTTCGTCCCATGGAGAATTTAGTCTATGGRAAAAATGAACATCCCTAATCATATTTTACTCAACGAAATATAGCTATAAATTTGTATTTAAAATTTTAAATTATGTATAAAATTTGTGTAAAAATTTGCAAAAGAATAACTAAATGGATCATTTTTTAAAAATAACATAAATCAAAATCAACTCAAGTAAAGACATTAAAAATATAACGAAAATATGAATACGTCAATAAATATTTAGTACTAAATTTAAAGGTGAGATGGAGAGACAGCGGCGAGACTTTAAAATTCTCGCAGGATGAATTAGTTCAGAAGGAAAGTGGGTTACGCTTACGCAACTGTCCACATCGCCATTTAAAGATTCTCCGGTGGCCGATATTTTGAAAGCCAAATTAAATAAGAATTACGATATCTCACGAAAAGTTGAAACACAACAATAATAAATACACCCTTCCCAATCCGAATGCGACATTTTCCGGTGCTACAGAAACTAGAATGGTTCAACTTTCAACTGCCAATAAAATCCCGAGATTTTGATCGAATTTACAACACATGCCATTAGCATTTTCAAAGCAAAACGAAAGTAAGAATCAACGAAGAACACCAACATCTTCATAGGTCGCGATATTCTTCTCTTTTTCTTTTTTCCAACAAACCGAAAGAAAAGAAGAGGAACAAAAAAGGTGAAAAAAAAGGAAAAAAAATCAAATAGGAACAATAATTATCCGAGAAAACACAACGAACGATCATCATCATCTTCATCAAGGATTTTGCTCCTTCTCTCATGCTTCTCTCTCCTAAAGATCGAGAGAGGAAATTTCGAGGAAGTGATCCTCAATACAATACTCCACAAGAAAATTTCAACAATCAGCCCAGAGTTTTCACARATTTCATCATCTTCGGATTTTCTTACTTTTTTTTTTCCGAATCTACGTATTAAACTCTAACGATTTTAGCCGCTTTCACCACCGGATTCTCCCTGGCGATGGCCTCGCGCCCTGCGGCCTTGTAATCGAAGCTGCAATCGTGACGATCTGAATACCGGTGCTCCGCRCAGAACAAATCGCCGCATCGGCACCTGAATCCGGTCAAACCGACGCGTTTTCTACATCCGGAGCACCGATTCACCTCGCGCTTGGCCGATTCGTCGAGCCTCGGACGATCGGACGTCGTGCTCCTCCTAGACTCGGAAATAAACCGAAATTTCTCCGGCGAGTGAGACGCGGTAGATCTCGGACTTTTGTCGCCAGAAAATTTAATCGCCATGGTGGCGGCGGCCGGCGTGGTAGCGTTGAAGCAGTTCTGACACATGTTGTTGGTGGCCGGATTGCCGGTGAGGCCGCAGTTATTGACGCAGAGGGCGATGGTCTCCGGGACTTTGAACTCGGTCTCCTCCTTCTCGGTTCTCTGAGCCATATCGTTCCGATCAGATCCTCAAGAGAGAGAGAGAGAGAGAGAGAGAGATGATGAGAAGGAGAAGGAGAAGGAGGAGAATTCGGGGTTGGGTTTTTCGAGAGGATGAGAGAGAAACGGGGAACGGGAGATGAATATGAAGGGATTGAARGGTCGGTAATGGCGATGGCATATGGGCCTCATAGAGACGCGTATCGAACATTTTTCTTTCGCCTACTTTACCAAAATGCCCTCACTACTTTTTCCTATTTACCCCTCTGACGTGTCCTTCCTCGTCATTATGGTAACTCGCCAAATTACGCTTCGCCAAGTTTCTTCTTTTGGAACATTATCCCTTGAATGGATCATTATTATTTTCTTTCATTTCTTACTTTTTCTTTCTCATTTCCTCCCTTTCATTTCTCATTATTATTTTGTACGATTTAATCCTTATACTTTAGATTTCTAACAGTTTAGTTAATAAATTTTAATTGAATGGTTTAATTTTTATTATAAAAAATAGTAGGGACTTAATAGTTACCAATTTTGAATTCTTTTTTAGTATCATATATGGGGTGTGAAATTGAACTTCGGTTGAAATTATCGTTGARCTAGGTTTGCTTTGATTATAAATTTTAAATTATAAATACTAAATTGTTATATTTTAGATTAAATTTGAACCAATTTGAAAGTATAAAACTAAATCATTATGAATCAAAGGATATGGAGTAAATAGTTGCTTAGGACAGGACAAACTTGTTTTACAACATTCTTTYTTGGGCAAACTCTCATTTTTCTYTCTTTATTTTACCTTTTATTATTAGCTTTTTCTTCTATTGTTCTGAAATTAATTAGGTTTACATGCGTGCTCAAGAAATTACCATTTTCTTTTTCTTTCCAGGTTGGAAAATGCAATAGTTTTATAAATCTAGTTTAAACTAARTAGTGAAATTAATAATTTCAAATGATTAGCGCTTAYGTACGTTTTAAATTCCAATGGATGAAACTAAAATCAAATTAACTGAGTAAAGTATTCTACTAGGAGTGAAAATTCTAACTCACARCCTTTTGATCGTAGATAGATATTTCAACCAATTTAATTATGYTTGGGTTGGTAAAATATCTAACCACATTAAGTAAATTTTAAATAAGGAAATTTATCCATGTTGCTTGATATTATCCAAATTAATATTACTTTTTTTCATTTGATAACTTATTTTCATCACGAGGACAATCCACTCTAACCTCAAGTGAACTATATTGCTAGTTCTTGTATATCTTCCCCGTGAAATCCGCAACTATATCATAAAACTTACAAAAATCCATTCGTAACACATGTTGAAATAATCAAGGAACACCAATAAACTCACATATCATTACTTAAAACTTTTACTATAATTTAAGCTCTTATAATTAAAAGAAAAATAATTTAAACATATATGTATATTAGGCTAGCATTAAAGCAATATATTTATAAAAATTCAAAGCCATTCGAATCAACAAGTCAATAAGTTGAAAAGTAAAATATGCACACCTAAAGTAGCTGTGGGGGACAATGATGTAAATGAAAGGACTCGAATCACTTTGAAAATTTTCTTTTCTCATTTTGTTTTTTTTTTAATTTATTTTTTTCATGCGAAGTTACTGTTAAATTAAGCTTTTTATCTTTTTAAGTTGCCTAACAAAGACAAAAATCACAAAAAAAAGCTTTAAAAGGTACCATGGAATTAGTCTTCTCAAGCCATTATATGCCTTTTCTTTTAATAATGAATTGTGTCCTAAGTTGTATAGGTAGTTCCCAAGTCAAGCAATATATAGATAGTTGATAGTTCCTCAAATTCTTAACAATATTGGAAAATAAAGTAGAACTCAAAAAAGGTCCATTGAAGTAATAAAAAAAATTTTGTGGAATGAGAATATGTTGCGTGTGATTTGCATCAATATTTGATATACGAAAATCGAGTTTGTTTTCACATCAAAATTAGAATCGTGAACCCATTATAAAAGTAGAGATAAATAATGAATAATAAAACGGATAAGGCTTCTACAAATAATGAAAATAATATTCGTCGAAAATTCAAAGTCGTCTCTAAATTTGAGATGAAATACCTTCAATCATAGTTCACTTGTATCTTACTTCACAATGATAAAATTATGTGAATTTACGTTTGATCAATTTTGTTATGTTAAAAGAAAAAAAAAAAAGAAACAATTAAATTGTCCAACTGATCTCGATCATGATTCGTAATATGGACATCTTCAGTTTCAGAAGTTTGACCAAATTAAAGAAACTAAACTGTAATTTCTAAAATCACAAGAGCTAAATTGAAATAAACCAATGAGCGATAGTGACCAAGTTAAAACTAGGTGTGTAAAAAATCAAACCAATCCGACCTTAACTAGAGGTGGGTAGAGTGGATTCGATTTTAACCAAACAAGATCAAGGATTCAAGGGTTTTGTCCCTTCATCCTATTTCCTTCCTTTTTTTATTCGTTGTCGGCATCCTCTTTTGCGACTGATAGGCAATGCCAACCCGCCGATTGATGTGCAACGACAACCCAGCGTCTTCATCTTCCATGTTCGTGTTTTGGGTTTTGAATTGTTACGTTTAGCATTTGAAAAGACCCGACCCGATTCATGTACAAACAAAACATCTTCGAATCGATTCGGGCCGTTCTTTTTTGTCCATAAAACTAAAATAGGAATTAAATGTTGTGATTTAAGGGAGAAAAAAAATCAACTTGACATCAAGTTGATTTTGGAGAGACAAAAATTGGAAAATGTGAAAGGAAAGGAAAAGGGCAAGTGGGAGGGAGGGAGAGGGAACATAATGGGACTACATTCACATGAAACGGTGAGCTTTGGGAGATGAGAAGGAGAAGAACTTGTACACAAAACACAGCGTTTTGTTTTTCAACCTTTATTAAGCCGCCAAATCTGACCGCCGCTGCCCTGAACACATTCTTCCCCCCCGCCTGCCGCTTTCTCCAACTGACCCACTTGCCCGCTCTTCCCCCTCCCAATCCTGTCCCCCCCATGTCGTCACCCGTCCTCCGACATCCCATTACGACATGTCGTTATTCAACTTAATTAAATATCACCCACTGTTTACCCAGCTCATGCTCAACCCTCACCCAATTATTTATTGTCTTCTTCCCACACAGTTTTTACTGCGGTTGGTTCCGGAATCATTAAAATGTTACAACAATCATCAAATTTAGAATTTTCACAATATCACTCAAATTTTAATCAATGTTTTCACCAGCTAAAGCTCAACCAAGCAATAGGCAAAATCAACCAGCATAAATTTAACCGTAGCATAATCCATACACGGCGGACTGGTTACAAACACATAACCTACGATGATCACAGTGAGACACCATTTTCCATCGGATTTATCCTCTACCAGGTGACAAACATGTCTAACAAACCTTAGCGCACAACCCCTTTTACCAAAAACATCAAGCAAAATGAAAAACACCATAGATTCATTCAACACACATTAGAAAAGTTGGTGCCGCACCTCAACTTTTGGATTCGTGTTCTCTTCATCTTCGTGTTCATATTTTGTCCAGCTTTTCAGCCTTCACCACAGGGTTGGCTTTTGCGATTGCCTCCCGACCAACGGCTTGGTAATCAAAAGGGCAGTCGTGTTTGTCAGAGTAGCGATGGACTGCACAGAAGAGGCTTCCACATCGACAGTTGAACCCTGTTAGACCTACACGTTTCCTGCAGGTGCTGCACCTGCTTGGGCTATTTTTCACCTTCTCCACGCTGCTGCTGCTCGCATTCAAAGAGGTACAAGGTGCCTGAGCTGGAATGATGGATGATACGGCTGGTTTGGATTCGAGCTTAGTTGGAGCTGTGACAATGGGCTTCTTGCCATGGTCATTTGGTCCTCCATTCACGATGTTTCCGATCGAGGATGCTGCGAGCTTAGCCTGTTCTTGTTTCATGATGAAATCCTTGTGGCACTTTGAACACAAGTTCATAGTTGCAGCACTTCCAAAAAATCCACAGTTGTTTGCACAAAGCTTGGGAGCTTCTGGAGGAGCTTGGCATCCTGTCTCTTTATGCTCTATTATTCACCTTTCCTGTATATAGTGATCTATCAGTTTATAGATACAATACACAAATTGAAACTTTCAAGCCAATCATGGCTCTTATTGATTCGTTATCTGCAGCCAAACCATCCCACCACAAGAAAAGGAGAACTTCCAACAGGCAACAGTAGAACTCTCGAGAAACAGAACATGATTAGCATAGTTACACGTAATTTACAGAAAAAAAGAGTACCACCGAATCGACTGACTTCAATTCACACGAGTTCAATTTACATCTCTAATTCCGTCCTCCACTCTCAAAATTTTATTCTCTCATTGGGCTAATCATGCAGCACCTATTGCAATTCCGTACGAAAATGGAACATCTACACTTCTTGCGTTACCCAGACTCCCATCCATTATATGAAGTATTAAGTTATTAACTACTAAGTGCTTTACACAAACCATTCATATGACTGGGAAAATATTGAACTATTAAGTATTAAAAAACTAAGAATGCTTGAGAATTAAAGAACCACAGCCGAATATGGTGAATGAAAGAAAGGTCAACAAATAGTGTAAAAAACTTTCAAACTCAGTCTCGCCAACCCAACAAATATTGGATTCAAAGGGCATCCCTGATAGAAATGAGGTTACAGAGATACAAAAACTGCAAGGGACAAATAAGAGAGAATGCAATGAAAATACTTGTCCATAATAAGCGCAGCTAAACCCAACTGAGTAATTATCTCAGTCCACTTGAAGTTCCAGTAAGGCTCTCATGAGATGAGAAAATTCATAACACGAAGTCATGAATTACCTTACAAAATCAGGATCCTAAGGTAACTGAGAAGAACAAACTAGTCTCATCTTATTGCCTCTCAAATTCTTTTTCAAAGAATAGCAATATCCAAGTCCAATTATGCACAGACTTGCCGGTGCCAAATACCTTCAGTTATATTCTAAAACAGAACTCTACTTTAAAGGCTTAAAGTTAAAACAAAACTTTGAGGCTAATCACAGCTAGGCCAGTTAAGAAAACAAATTAGTTCATTACATGAGCAAAAAGAAGGGAGAGGATGTGCAGAATAATCAAAACATAACAAATAATTGGAGGCCGATAAGCAAAAATCCTCAACATGACAAAAATAGACATGCAAAATTATTCTAGTATTGTCTGAAAACTTCAGAAAAGCAAAGCATCGACCAAGAGGCATCATGACAAGTTTTATTAGAAATTTCAACAAAACAGAGAAAAATACCACTGGGATTAACCACCAGACAACATAATCTACACATTAAGAAACAGAATCGGTTTCTCCAGAAACAATTACGACCAAAATCGAAAACACAGAAACCAATTACGAGAAAGAGAAAGGAATCTCTAACCTGTTCGTTGTTGGGTGTGGGAGGGGAACTCAGTCCGGCCGCTGCGTACCGACGAGAATAAAAAACCATAAAATTCCCAGCGAGATGATACGATTCTTCGCTCGCTCCCCCCCTTCACTGGAAAATCAACACGAAAACACATAAATAAGCAAATCAAAAGACAGAAAAACCGTTTGAAAAAGAAGAAATCGAGTAAAATTGAAAGGAAAATTAGTGAAGAAGAAATGGGAGAACTAACCCTACAACGAGGAGAAAGGAGATGGGGTTTCGAAGGTTTAAAGGAAAAGCCAAGTCCCAACGATGGAGCTCCCAATTTATAGGGCCATGGAGGTGGGGTGTGGGCCAAGAAAAACGAAAACAAAAAAGAAAAAAGGACGTTTCGAATTGTTATTGGCCATACGTGGAGCGTCTTTAGTGGGGGAGACGGGAAGAATTCAATAGAAGGAGAGGAGTCTGACCCAATGGGAATGAAGATAGTGGCGGTTTCATCTGGGTCTGGTTGTAGGCGATCATTTTCGGAATGGGGCTTACGTGTTCCGTTTCTACTCTTTCCCATGTGATTTCTTGCTCTGCCATCGACACGTGGAAAGTGATATTTTTGTTCTTTTATTTAATAGTGAAATTTGAAAGGATGATTTTCATGTTCATGGTGCGCGCGCGCGTGTGTTTTTTTTTTAGAAAATAAATCGCTTTCCATGTTGGATCTCACGAGGGCCTTCCATGAATAAGAGAGGATTGAGAGAGTTCGAGAAATAATATATTGTAACAGAAGTTCGAGGAATCCTACGTAGAACTTCGATGATAGACAAAATCGAGTAGAGATCTCCCTAATTAAATCGATATCAACTATCTTTCTACCATTACGGAACGTAATATGTTCCGCACTAAAGTTTGATAACTACTAAAGTGGATACCACTTATTGATAAATAGGAAAGTAGTCTTCGTGTTCAGGTACCTATGATTGTTCGTCTAAAAAACACCTCGAAATTCATTAACTTGGACATGAGTTTGCTTTTTCTGTTTTGTAGTCCTATAATTCACCTCCCTTTTTTCTTTTATTTCAAATCCAAAACTTGGTTTATTCCAACCTCTTGAGAATGAAATTAAACCATTCATTTTGAAAATAAAAACTAATGCATTTATAAATTATATGGTTTGAAAATTTAAAAAAATTATATATTTCTTTAACTCCTCTTTGGAGCCCAACAATATTTTTAAATATGTGATTTGAAATACGATAAATGTTTTTTTATTAGATACACCATCACTATTTTGTTGATTAAAGTAGTTTGGTTCTTTATGTATAAATAGGTGAAATTGCATTATTCGGCAATTAGTGAATAGATTATTTTTACATTTATTTCTATCTTCCTCTTTTATAAGTTTTTTTTTTCCGAGAGAAGAATGGATAATTATGTTGTTATTGAATTATTTATAGTTAACATTTTATTGATTAAGGTAGTTTTTCCTCGTGTTTAAATAGGTGAAATTTGTTGATTGAAGTGGCTTTCTTCCTGTCTATAAATAGGTGAAATTTCATTATTTTGAAATGAATGAAGAGATTATTTTCACCGTTATTTATCTCTCTCTTGTTAGATTACTCTAGTATAATTTTAAATTTATCATCTTATTTGGAATAAGAATAATTTAAAATAAACATATTTTAAAAAAATTTGTTTGAAGCCTAAAAAAAAAAGAAACAAATGTAGACTTTTAATCTTAATTTATTACTTAGTTAAAATATGGCAACGTTAAACAAATAATTTATTTTAAAATTTTATGAAATCATGCTAAATTCAATTGTTGCGATCAGAATTTTTTTTTACCTGAAAACTTTCACATGAATTATCATGTATAAAACAACTCCTTTACATTATCATAAACTTAATTTATTTAAAATTCGCTAACATTTGAAATCTACCTATATAACTTTTTAGTCCTAATTTGTAAAATGAACATTTTAAATTTGAAATAATAAATTAAATCTCATAACCTCACCTTTAATTTTATATATGTTTCTAAAATACTAGTTTGATTGAAAGTATTCAGCCTCGTACTTAGTGTAACCCATTGTATATTGAAAATGTTCATTTTAGTCCCAATACTTTTAAAAAACGATTATTTTACCTCTTTATAAAATTTTAACCCATAGTTTACACCTAACGATAACTTTTACTTTTTAGTATAAAGTAATGTTTACATGTGAAGAAATATATTGATTTTAGTATCGTGTTTAAATTGTGATATAAAAAATAGATTAAGAATAAAATTAAATGACTAAAATGACCACTTTTTGAAAGTAGATGAGCCAAAATCTACATTACTAACTACTAATAAGGTCCATTTTGATAATTTTTATTTTTTATTTTGAAAAATTAAGACTAAAAACCCTGCTTTGTTTTAAAAAATGGATCAAAGATTCATGTGTACATAGCAAAGAAATGGTAAGAAATCTTTAAAACAAAAAATGAAATGGATTCAAATTGCAAAGCTAAAAGTTCAAGATTATGTGGATCATCTATCAACAATTATTTGCATTTCAAACAATTGAGCTGAGTTCTGACCCAACAGGCTTAACATCCCTACAAAAACCCAACACAAATTTCCATGGAAAATCCTAAATTTTCCAGGAAAATTAAATTAGCTCCTGAGAAAATGCAAATGATCATACGAAACAAAAATCGAATTCATCTCGAAATCAAGGCAAACAAAACTCCAACAGACAATCCCGTTATGCACAACAAAGAAACGCTTCGCACTCGAACAAACAGGACATTCAAATTCTTAGCAATCTGAAGAGTCAGAGTTAGAATCTGCAACCTACCTTGTTCTTCCATTTTCTTGAAGAACAGCATCGGCTTCAGTGACTGCCGCAGAATGAACGCCAACGAGAAAGGAAACCCGAACGCCACGAAGCTCTGGATCGAAACCTCTGTAATCGGGGATCCGCGAGTGGCGTACGAAATCCAACCCCCGATCCCGAGTTGAACCAGACCTAGAACCGCCATGGCTTTGCTTAAGCTGTACACGTTCTTCATCATCCCTTCGAGAACTCCTCTGGTTTCGCCGGCCAGCGCCGACAGATCGCGCTCCACAGTGGGCCCTTCGATGTCTTGGTGCATCAATTCGGCCGGTTTCTGCGCGTTCTCGTTCTCCGAGGTTGAAGAAAATCCATATTTCTGATAGTTCAAATTAGGGTTTCTCGGAATCGGAATCGAACAAGTATCCGACCCGGTTGTGCCCCGAACCCGAAAATCAAAATTAGGGCTCTTACTCTGAATCGGCGCTGTAAAATTGGGAGCGATTACTTTGGTAATGGAGCTGGGATTGAAATCGGTGGATCTGCAGCAAGATCGGGCAGTGTTGAGGGAGGGATTTTCAGAAGCTGTGCGGGAATTGAAGAGGCCAATAGAAGGGTTTGTAAATGTTCGTCGATTAAAACGTGGAGAAGAGATGTGGGGAAAGGTTTCGATAGGGTTTTGGGAGATGGGAAATGTGGAAGAAGACGAAGATGGAAGCGGTCTGAGAAATTTGGAGCTTAACCTTCGCGTAACAATGGCGGCCATTTTTCGTTTCTTGATTAGGCCCTTTTAGAGAGAGAGAGAGAGAGAGAGAGACTTTTCCAGTCGGACGAACGAAGAAATGAAGAATCAAGATTTTTTAAGTCTTAATTCCTAAAAATAAATAAATAAATAATCCTGAACTTTACCTTTGTTAATTATCATTGTTCAATTTTTTTGGTACTACGAAGGGTATTTTTAAAAGGTCGAAAGAGGTAGAAACTTGTATTTTTTAAACAAATGACAAAATTCATTATTAGTATTTTTGTAATTTACCTTTTTTTTCAATTTATTAACATAAATACTTCTAATTTTAGGTTTAATTATAAATTTAGTCATCAAAGCCTTTTTTTCCCTTGCGTTAAGATATGTAACACGACAAAATATGAATGTTCGAATTCTCATGTCTACACATCATTGAACTAAAAAATTTAAAATAAAATAAATGTTGAGTTTGAATTTAGGAAATACAGATATATATATAATCGAAAAATATCAATTTTAAACCACAGATTGACAATGTGTATCAATTAGTCCTTGTTGTTGTAATTTTCATATGTGTCACAAACTTTACTATTGATAGATGTTGATTTGAAAATTTGTTAAAAAAAATATTATGTTAAATTAGTTAGAAAACATATGAAATAATGGATAGGATTCAGACAAAAGCCTACATTAGAGTTGGCTTTTTTTTTCCCTTAAATTTGCAAGTTTTAGTATAATTGTTTAAGTATTGGGATTTGAGAATCTTGATTTTTATTAACTTAGTGATTTTTTGCGATTTTGTTAATGAATAAGTTAACGAAAAAAAAATTGAATATAGCGATAAAAAATTATAAGATGTATCTGAGTTTGGGATTATAAATTTAAATTTAATAAAAATATATCTTTAGTGATATAAATTTAATTAGACATATTAAAACAAAAACTTAATTAGACAGCAAAATTAATTACTTACTTTAAGAAAAGACATTTTTTCCTTTTTAAAAGTATATCTAGAAAACTAAATTAGACAGATTTTTTAAATATATTTGTTAAAAAAAATAATGTAGTTTAACAATTATTTTCAAAAATAGGACAGTGAAATCATAATTATTGGCTACATTTATGATCTATGCATAATTTTCATTTTTAGAATTTTTAATTTAGTGTTCGAAAGTTGGATTTTTTTTCCCTAATAATGTATTCTTTAAATCTATTTTTCAATTTTTTTATATAAAAAAAAATCTGTTTTCGAAAATTTAGTGAGATTTGTTTTCAAAATTATTTTATAAATCTTAGTAAATATAATGTGGAAATATTTTGATTTTAAAGTTAAATTATCCAATAAAAGTGTTTGATAATTTGATTTAGTTTGAAGCAGGTTATTTAGATAACCTTAGCTGAAGACAACTTTTCTCTACCAGAACTGGGACAGTAATTGATCAAATAAAAGAAAAGGCTAGTAAAATATATAAATTACACAGGTCATAATAATATTGATTTAAATAAAAATTATCCGTATTTGTCAATAATTTTCCTGACTACCTTGGTTTTGAAAATTTTTATTTCATCTACATTTTTTTTTTTCATTCTACTAAAGTCTACATTATTTAAATTTTTGTAATTTAATTTTTTTAATAACACTGTTCTTAAAATTAGCCAAAATTAAATTGGGGTTGATACCGAACTATTAAACACTTTTCAACAATCAGGAATACAAATTCTAAAAAATATGGCAATACTCATAAAATTTTATCTTTAATTTATACGTTTTCTTAAAAATATATATATATTTAAGCAATTCAAAAGAGCCGAGAGTAGAGTAATACCTAATAAGCATAAAAAATAATAAAAAGCAGAAGCAAAATACAAAATACAAAATACGTAATTTTATAAACAATATTTCTAATATAACGGATCCAAATCCTTTTATTTTTTCAATCACATCGTCCTTCTACTGAACAAACCAAATCGCATAAAAAGGAAACACAAATTTAAATCTGAAATCTGAATTTCCCTCCGGCGCGGCGCTGCTCAGATTGGTGT